AACCTGACCGCTACCTGATGACCACGACCGCTCTGTCAAGAGTGAATCGGCAAAGAAGAGAGTTCTAGACACTGATTCGTGAACATTTAAAATTAGAGATTGCCACAAAGGTTGAATCCATAGTTATATCCATATTCATACTTAAATTAAAGAAAAGAAAAAATGTGTCTGCCTGTCAGTTACGTCTTCACGCTTAAACCACTGAACCGATTTAGATCAGATTTGGTATAGATTTTGATTTCCGCGAAAGGACAAAGGATAGTTCTTATCCCAGAAATGATTCAAGAGGGTGAAGGGGGGGGATGCGAATTGGTATTGGAAATCAAATAAACCCCACAGACGAAGTCGCGGGCATCCACTAGTGGTGAATATGGAGGAAAAGAGACAGTTGTGGTTAAGCACGTTATTATTATTATTATGTCATTACGCTTTTCTTCTTACACGGGCCAAAGCATTATTATTTTTTCAGATTTTTGGGGCTATGTAGTCTTAAAAATATCTATTGTCCACCAGGCCAGGCCACCAAGTTAAAGTACCTCTTTTAGCCTGAGAGATTCCCCTTTGCCCCTGCTCTTGCTGATTCATCAGCTTTCTCGTTGCCAATTATTGCTCAATGATCTGGTTATTTAAGAATACATATATTCTTTTGACACAAGTTGTTCAGTTTATCAACGCAGTATTTCACCAATTTCGAGCATATCATGTTTGAGTTAATGACGTAGGACGCTGCTTGGCTTTCTGAATAGATAAAATATGTGGCCTGGTTTGTGATGTTTCTTTGACAATTTCTTTTTCTGCACATTCATATCTCTGCCTGGAATATAGTGGCCTGGTTTTCGAGATTTATACTTTTGTTGAATAAATTCCATATCCTACATTTTGAAGGTTATGCACCTTGTTATCGACTATAAACAAAACACGAAACATCACTTTTCAAAGGTATAGTGTGCTGCGAAATTCCACGATTTCGTGATGCCGATGGCCTTAATAAATTTTCAAATGTTTTCGCGTGACATGCCGTCTAAACGTCGGGTTGGAAAAGCATGAGGTTTGGGCCACATAATTAAGTTGCGATTTTACTGTGTCACAGCAGTTAATTGTTTCAATTTATGCTTTGCAATGGTAACAGCTACGGCTACGTCTATTTCGCTAAACCGTCTAACAAACTAGTTTTGTTATAAAAAGAAAATAAAAGTTTCTTAATTGAAATCACAATTAACCGTACTTATTTTTTTTTACACAGTAACTAGTAGCCCGCACTCGCTTCGCTTCGGTGTTGAGCTGTAGTGTAGACTAAAATGACTCTTCATATAATTATAAAAAAATAGCTGATAATGGTATATTTGCCTTTTCTAAACTTGTATTGAAAAAAAAAAGAATACGTCACTCAATTGTTTTGCCTTCCCGGAACCTCTCCAGTAACATTTGAAATTTATGGTATGGTATTAAAGTTCAAATTTACTTTTAAGTATTTTTACGAATCGTTTGTATGGGACAATAGAAAAGTGTTATTTTAGGACTTTCTCAGGCATTTTTTTTTAATTTTTCTCTGCGTAAGAACCATCCTCGTACTTCAAGGAATATCCTAAAAAAATAATTATTGAAATCGGTTCAGCTGTTCTGGAGATTTGCGCTTAACACATTTAGCGATTCATTTTTATATTATAGAAGGTAGATAATGCTAGTTACCAACTAGTAAGTCATTTGTTTTAATTGGGTATACTAAATATTAACGATGTTATTGTACTCCTTTGGTTATTATTTATCCCAACTTAAGCGTATTGTTTGTAATACTGAAAGCTTTCAGTTAATTTTTATGTAGTTCTACAGCTAGAAGTCAAATATGTATATAATTTCTTACTATTTATTTATATGAAATTGTAATGAACAAAATGGATTGATGTATCTCTCGTTATAATCAAATTAAAAAAAAAACCTTAGCTGTGAGAAAAAATTAACTAAAACGTAAAAAAGGCAGGAATGTTAGTATATGTAATTGTTTAATGCTATCGGGGGAATATTTTGTAATGAGAGGATGTCCTTAAAAGTCCCAAAAAGTTTTTAAGTGTTCATTCTAACAATGCTACATACATCTAAATCGGCTAACGCATATAGAAGTTATGATGGAATAATACATGAACCCTGAAAATATTACCCTTTTTTTGGCAATCGTGTTAAAATATCAGAGGTGCATTTTAAAGATAACATACTGTGAAAATATTTTGATTAAGAACAAAAAACATACCATTTATTTGTGAAAAAAGGAAAATAACAATCTTAATGAAAAAAAGAGAATCTTTCTTCTTTACTAATAATATATTGAAGTTTGATAACGTATGGAAAAGGCCCTTGTTGTTATACACGTATACTCAGATTGTTACGATTGACAATGATTTATTGAATAAGATAATAAAAAAGAAATGACTCGTTCTTTTTATTTATCAAACATACAACTAGTCCTTTCAAGTGTTTCGTACCAAAAGAAACCCTTATAGGAGCACCTTGTTCTCCGTCTGTCTGTCAAGACCCTTTATCTCGGGAACTCGTTGAGGTACCGAATTGAAATTTAAACCATATACTCAAGTCTACAGTCCCTTGAATCTGTGAAAAAATCAAACTTCTAAGTTAGCGTAAAAAAAGATACGGCAGTGTATTTGTCTTTCTGTCAAGACCTTTTATCTCGGAAACGCGTTGAAGTACCGAGTTGAAATTTAAACCATATATATATATATATATAAGTCTATAGTCCCTTAAAGCTGTGAAAAAATCAAACTCCTAAGTTAACGTAAAGAAAAGATACCGCCGTTTATGTTGCGTACCTACAAATTTGTACGGAACCCTCGGTGGGCGAGTACGTCTTGCACTTGTCCGGTTTTTTATAAAACAAACATGTATCTTAGCTTTGCAGTGCGATACACGTGAAAGCAAGACGCTCTCTCATTATTTTGCTCGAGCTTTGCTACAGGAGCTTATGGGAGTAGGGGAGTGGGGGGTATCCGTAGCAACAGCGTGCCGTCAAGGGGAGGAGAGGGGGGTTGCCGGGAGTACCCAGCTACGTGGGCGAGTCTGTAGTATATGATAGTACGACTAGCAATCTATGGCGTGGTATTGTTATGTCTTGGTGCGCAGGCGTGGAGCAATGCCGCTAGGTGTCGCGCTTAATCTACGACCTCGAACTTTAAACCCTGATATTGATAATCCTTAAGCTGTTATGTGTAGTCGTGGGGATTCAATTACGCTTTTGGCGAGTTAAGACATTTTTTGCGTCGTACTGTTGTTGTTTGTAAGAATTGGTGTCATTTTTTGTGAGGTTTTGAAAAATGTCAAAGGATCGATTTTATTATTTTGTAGGTATAACTTTTTTCTCTGATTTTTATTTAAGTTTAGACCTCAGTTCGACACATTCGTTTCAATTAAATTTTTGTTTTAGGCATTTTATATTAAACTTTACTAGAAAAATAAATTACTCACGGTACGGTTGCATGTATTTTAACGATTGTAGCGTTTCAATTCATTTTTTTTTTAATTTTTAATAACCAACTTGTTAGCTTGACCGTCGTAAACGGTGAAAACTTTCATCTCAAATTGTTATGAGGACCTAATGGTCCACCAAGTCATATCACGATCCCGATATAAGCAGATTTTGTTCTTTGAACTGTTTGTTTATGCAAAGTTTTCTATTTTATATATAACTTTGTACATATTCAATTCAATTCATTTATTCAGTTTAGGCTTTTACAAGCACATTCAAAGTCGATGGCTACGCCGTCGGTTAGCAAATCTACTGCGGGAAACCTAAGAAACTATGACTACTTTATTACGCTTACATACATTCATAAAGACTTGTAAATAATACTTCGAATAGAAGATCTCATAGGTGAGAATTGCTTACTGGACTTCAATTCGATTATATGCAAAATATTAGATTTATAAAAATACTAGCTGACCCAGCGAACTTCGTTCCGCCTTAAAATAGTAGCAGGTGGGAGAAGAGAAAATTTAGGGTTGTGTATTTTTTAAACCACATTATAAAAAAATATTGTCCAAAAAAAATTTAGGGGTGTGTAACGTAGTATTCTATCCATTTCCTGGGATAACATTCCTCCTAACCCATATGAGAACACTACGTTACAATACCCAATAGTTTGAATTTTGGTGCGAGAGGGCGCATTGTAGGTTTCAAAACACTAACGTTACAGGTGGGCAACTATTATCACTTAAGGTTATGAAAAATTGATAGTAGCCGATTCTCAGACCCACGAAATATGCATATAAAATTTCATAAAAATTGGTCAGGCCGTTTCGGAGAAGTATGGTAACTAACATTGTGACACGAGAATTTTATATATAAGATAAAGTTATTTTCAAAATTACTGAGTGTTTTTACTCCTATGCGAAGATACATTCATTAAAAGAGTCTAAGCAACATGCATTATTTACGTAGACTGCAAGTTTTATCAGTTGATTTTCCATATTAACGTTATACATTATATGTTCAATTTATTTAACTGTTTTATTATGCTTTAGTAATCAATCAATAATAATGAATCGAGTTGGTAATCGATTAAAGTATTATAAATCGGTCAAAAGTTCAAAGGCTCTTTTGATGAGTTTATTATTATGTTTGAACGTTTTTATTCTAAGGTTTGAAGTATACTACATTTCCCCTCAGGTAATTGTTGTTATTGATTTATGGTGAACTTTGTGCTTTATCTACGCGTGAAACCTGTAATATTAATTTACTATCGTGCGTGTTGTGTTTTATACTCTGCCTATATTATCCCTCACAATGTTATTAACGGTACAGGCCTAATTAGTGAGTAAACCGTTACAATTAATTAATTGGTTTAACAAAGTATAGTTATGTGTGTTAAAATTATAGGTAAAGCGCTCTAAGTATTTAATGAAAAATAGGGATTTTATCCGACACCGAACAATAAAGATAGTACTTTGACTAATTATGGTTTGCGTAAGAAAATGTTACTTTAACAAAAACTCACCTTCATCTTGATTACTGCCAAGAAGCACTTCGGTATTATGAAAATTGCCTTCTTTCATCATCGTGTCAGGGTCCTTTGGCAAAAAAACCCCATCAACTGTCGGTGCCGACGGAAACCCTAAGATACCAGTATAAGAATTCCACTGCTGCACAGAAATTGTCTTCGCGTCTACTCCACGCATGCAGTCCATAACTAAGCTCGGGTCAGCAGTCAATAGAGAACTGTTGCAGTTGCAGTCATCTACTAAAACCTTGCCGATGTCCTGTGCTCTTTCGCCCGTCATCCAACTCCAGGGAGCGTTCAAGGTACCAGACTGTAAGATTCCTCTTTTAAACAGCCCTTTCATTTCAGGCGAGAGCATATGCAGACTCACACTGCCACCTCCGGCTGACTCTCCGAAGAGTGTTATTAATTCCGGGTCACCCCCGAAAGCTCGAGCGTTTTCCTTTATCCAGCGGATAGCCAACTGTTGATCCCACAAACCCATGTTACCAGGCGCCTCTTCACTTCCCGCCGAAAAATATTTGTTGAGGTATAAAAATCCAAACGCTCCTACCCTATACTGCATGGAAGCAACGATCACATCACTGGAGGATGCCATTATGTCAGCTTTGTACAAGTCGAGCGTAGCTGTGCCACTCATGTAACCACCGCCGTATATCCACACTAATATTGGCACTTTTGGCTTTTCTGTCAGGGGTTTCTCTTGGTGATGGCGAACTCTCAAATGCTGTGGCACCCATATGTTTAAATACAAACAGTCTTCTGATATATTTGTGTTCGGATTCCACATTTCCTCCCCCTCGAACCCTGGGAAATATTCGTACCTCTCTTGGTAACAACTATTTGGCATAGCGGTAGCTTCGAGAACTCCATGCCATGGATCTATTGGTACCGGCTTGCGAAACCTGAGTGGACCAAGTGGTGGTTTGGCAAACGGTATTCCGGTGAAAATGTGAACTTCTCGTCCCATTACCGTTTTGGCGTAACCTTTAATGAGACCGCTTTTAGTTTCCACTATGAGAGGATCACTGTGAATGTTTTTAGGGAGTGGACTTGTCGTCGGCGTGGTTTGCGTCGTCGACGTTGTGGTGTCGTGATGGTTTGCCCATGATCTTCCAAAGGCACCAGACACAAAAAAGCACAGCAAGAGTTTTGTAAACACAATTTTAATGTTGCGGCTCATTTCGAATTTTTTAATGATGCGAACTGGCTCTAACGAAATTCACATGAACGCAATTGAAAGTACTCCACGAGCTTTACGAGATTCTTGTTTAAGCACATTTCTGATCACATCAACGTTGTACCTGAAAAAAAAAGAGAATATATTTTAGTACATTTTTCTTCAATAAAAAAATCAGAGCTTTGACATGATTATAAATGTAATTGATTGTTGATTTGATCTTTATCTCAAAGTAGGACAGTTAATGGTCGCCACTCTAGGGCCGTTTTTATATAGCATGTGCTACTTTTATAACAAATAAACCATCCAATATATTTGATAAAACTAATGTACTCTGTCAAACATCCATATGAGCATTACAAGTTCGTTAAACTATTGCTTTGCTAATCCTAATAATAACAATAAAATTATAAGATTAATTATTAGTAATTTTGCTACTTATACTAGGATTATTGCGAAATTATTATAAACAAACTGCTGATTGGTGATGATGTTGTTAAAAAAAACATCATTATACAGATATTATAACCAAATACTGGGTGGTGGGGATTACGGTACATTTGAATCAAATCTTTATTGAAAAGCTTTTAGAAAAAAACTATTAAATCAGACGAAGACCGATTCGAAGAGGCACATTATGGCATCCTAATTGGCAACGATCGTACGATGACACATGATCGTACATGTGCTCATGCGACGTATTACGAGCTGTATTAAGGACATTTCTGAAGAAATCTTTTGTTTGATCGTACGATCGTTGCCACTATGACTTCTGAGGGTAAATAGGGTTCCTTTGTATTTTTATACAGGCAACGAAACTTTTAAAATCATTTCTGGCTTTCATGATCTGATCATCCAATCAAATACCTAAGTATTACTTAACTATTCTGTTCCACTCTATTGCAATACTGTCAACCTGTCATACTGACCATTCGTCAGAAGAATATGTATAGTAAAACGAATTGAAATCCATTAACGGGTTGGACAGATGGAAATGGACGAAATCCATACCCTTAAAAACGTGAATCAAATTCAATCAAACGTTGCCAACGTATTGGATTGCTATGTAAGCATAGGATTTGTTCAATGAATATTGTATAAGGGTGAGGCTGATAAAATATTAACATTATCAACATACAGAATCGGATGCAAATTAATTACATGAATTGTAGGTATGTTGACGGATGACGCATTAAATACTGTTGGTAGTGTTGAAGTTGATACTAAATATAAATGATGTTGCTGTACAATTAAGGTACAGTTAACATCAAATTGCACACCCTAGGTTTGTTCATCGACTGTTCCTTTTTTCAAATTGGACATTCATATCAAGTGCAAAGTACCTGCGTAGGTTGAACTATACTTACAAGGTTATTTGAGATTTGTTTGTTTGTATAATTCTTTATGTAAGAACGATTCCCTTATAGTTGCTTAATATTATGTGTAAATCCACAATCCTAATACGTTCGTAGCTTAATTAATTTTGTCTTAACCTAGGTCACATATGGATGAATAAGGCGTTTGTGTAAGAATAAACTGGTTTAGTAATTATTACATTTTGTAATTTACTTTGCAAAATAACATTATAATTTCCTGCAAGTCAATAAAGGCGACATATTGCGTTTAAAAAGAAAGTGCGTTACACACGTAAACTCCTAATTCACGTTCCATATTACTTCTAAAACAAAAATTAATAGTCATGAAAGCGGTAAGTGGAAAGTTTTGAAACGCCTAACACAACCCACAACCCAAAAGTTGGGGAAGTAGCCCAAAAAACATCTGGAACAACACAGGTAGATGTGGGGAAGGCAACGTGACTTACTTACTAATATAGAGCAACACGGCAGACGCGGTTAGGAGCTGACTCCCCAGTCAGCACACACAGCTTTCCCCTCTGGCGATTTGGGCATACAAATTGGGCATACTCATGTTGTGCTTGCATATTATATTATGTGTGCAGGATTCGGTGGTGTAATAGGGATGGTGTCTAATTTTTTTCGTAGCTTATCAGGTAGATTTAAAGAGTATTTATTAACACGTATTTTTGTTTTATTTTTATTGCATAATAAAAACTTTACAGATATTATATTGATTCGAAATGTCCCTTGACCTCACGTCTTGGTACAGTCCCAAACTTTGACACACTTTGTTATTTTTGGTTGTAAAAAGGAAAACTAAATGTCGAATATTTTTTGATAATAAACACATTTGATAATCTGATTTATTAAATAGAATTTCGTTAATTTTACCCCGTTATCATAACTTCTGTGTCATTCATTGTTTAAGTGTCAATGTTGTAACTACATTTTTGTTAAACTGCATTTTCAAATGGCAGAATGATTTTTATATGTCACCATGGCTACTCCCTCTCGTGTTAATTCATTTAAAGGTATTTGTGTACGCTTCTACAATAAAGTCCCTAGCAATATCCAAAAATTTTTAACGTCAAAAAATTTGAAGCTACTATTAAAAGAGTTCTTATTAATAAAACCTATTATAAGATGTCTGATAATATGTATTTCAGACAAAAATGCTTGGCTTTAAACTGTTCCAAACGTTCCGCAGGCTTTTTCTAAAATTATGATGAAGGTGATATGATATTGTATTGACGCCGTAACAATATAATATTTTGTAAATATTGTTACATAATTATTTAACGCTGTGAAGTTGCTATCGCCGGTTTGTCTCTACAGAAATAAAAATGTCCTTAACTGGTGATAGGGGAAGAAATTAACGATTCAAAAGGGATGTATTGTGCATCCAATTTGAATTGATGTTTTTTGACTTTTGACTTGACTTGTAACTCTATGCATACTAAACGTAGGTACACATTCAACAGATAGTCGATTGAAAGCTATCATCGATTAGGGGCGGGGAAAGCGTTCTCGATCCTCCATGATCATTATTTCATCGGGTGTTGGAATTGGCCCCCTGGGACCAATAGTTAGCAGTTGACGCGTCGTCTACAGGTTCCCAATAAAAATAAGTGACGATTTTTATCCATTCCGTCAAAGGTTAGATACGAGTACCTAGCCTCCAATACATGCCAATGTAATCCACATTTATAGGATGTGGAAATGTATCAGACTGTTCAAAACTTGTATTATACATAAAAAAGAAAACCTTTTTTGAAGTGAAAACTTCTTTAGCGGCCTTGTACACTTTTTTTGTAATGGGTAAAAACTATTAATCTCGCGTCAGGACACGTGGCCTGATTGCGTCAGTCCTGACGTCCTCATTAGGTCACGAAAATATTCGAGTTTTCACTTCTGCCGGCACTCTCGGAGTGCAACCCATCGTTTTTTTTTATTAATCGTAATCTTAAAAGCTGTTAAGCATCGTTTTATTTACCTAATAAAATCATATCAAATGATACTTACCTAAATCGATTTCTACTTCAAACTGTCGTAATCATCAATCCATGAAGTCATAAACAGCCATGCCAACAGCCTTGTTCTAATACAAAATGACATACCTACATACAACGGTTCATAGCTTACCCTTCGAGCCAATTTGTGATGAATTCCTATGCACGTAAATATCCATTTTCGTTAGGACCCGCCAATCCGCACTGGGCCCGCGTGGTGGGTCATGGCCCAATCTCCCTATTCCATCCATAGGGAAGGCCTGTGCTCCAGCAGTGGGGACATTAATAGGATGATGATGATGAATCAAAACTACAACACAATCTTTTACTACCCAGTGGTGACAGAAATGGCGCCGTTTATATTATTAGGATCACAACAGATAAGTGCTTTTTAAGATGGAGGTAAGTTCCTGAGATCAAATCTAAATATTGAATAATTATTCCGTATCCAAGATGTATGAATTCTTTTAATTTTTGACTACATCGCACTAAAACTTTATTCACCAACACAAATTAATTGCTATTGAAATAAGACTTAAATTATACAGTACAGTAAAATTAGTAAAGGTTACGTGATCTTTCTGCGGGTTTCATAAAATGAATTTTAACGACATGAAATATGTGTATAATGCTTATGTAGAAGGCAATTAATTTGCTGAAATATCGCTGGGATTACTAATACATGATAAAACATGAAATTCATCTTTGAAATATATATATATATATATATCTAGATAGTAAGTCAGATACATGTATTACGTAGTTGAGGACAATATAGTTGAAGATTTTTTTTTGTAGAAGATCAAATAATGCATTAATGTGTTTATTGCAAGCTTGGACCATTTGGCTTTAACAATATTGGACAACACTCGTTTATACTGTGAAAACCTTTTCTCTAAATATTTCAATGCTTTTGTTCCCGCAGGCATATACATTATAAGTCCGACAGCTTTTACAGCAGGGTTATGAAAGGATGTACTTATTATTCTTTTTTATTATTTTAAAGGAATGCAAATCAAAATACAATAGTCAAAGTTTACTATAATATAATAATAATGTTGCTCTAACTCTATACTGATATTTGCATATATTTCTTCGTATTACAATAAATTTCATGACTTTCCTTTTTATGTGGAGGCCAATACCTTCTAAAAATTTCAAAAAAAATCACGTGCTGCCGTCGCTTCCTAACAGTCAGTTTTTTAAAAGGAAACTTCGTTCGTGTTATTTGTCGTTTTTTGCAGCCGCTTTCAACATGCAAACCATGGCTTAACATGTTTCCGTCATCAAAGGCACGTACACTATCAGTATCTGACGCGCTCGAGTATTTCCTTATTTTTTTATTCCACTGAAGTAGCAAATATATCTGACGGTAAGCTATGACCTGCTATGCTCAGGCATATGGATGCTTGAAATAAATATGTACCAAAAGTGTCGCACCTTGCCAATTCCGTTAAAATCTTTTCACACCATCTTGAAAGCTTCATACTATGGATACAACAAACATTGTAACCAATTCTTTCAAAGCTCGATGAGTTACATACTTTAGGTGTTGATCTTAAACTTCACTGGATTTCATCACTTATTGATTTATGCGGAAACGAAGAGTTTGACTGTCTAACAAAACTTGCCTTAATGAGACATTCACAATATATTACCATTAATACTGAAAAATTTTAATAGATTTTTATCAATAACTAGTGGCCCGCCCTCGCTTCGCTTCGGTGTGGAGCTGTAGTGTAGACTAAAATGACTCT